GTAGTCTATGGAACAATCTTTTTACTAGGGCTAGAAACGAACCGAACGTAAACGAACAAACATATATCTGTGATTTGTTTGTTTATTTTTAAAGGTGTTCAGGCTCAGTTCATGTTCGGTAAGAAAATTATTTTGTTCGTTGGAGATCAGTTCGTTTAAATAGTAGAATGTTCGTGTTCAGTTTAATTAAATTAAACGAGTTTGTTTGTAAACATTAAACAAATATATTTACGAACATATTCATAAATAATAAACAAACCATAACCAAATAAATTTAAACAAAAAAATCATAAATGAACCCAAAAGAACATAAACAAATCATAAAATAGGATTAGGGTAAAGAATTTAAATGTAATTTTGTTAGTATTATTACAAACAAACAGCTAACAAACAACAAACAAACAAGCTTTAAACAAAATTTAAACAAATTTGTTCATGAACATAAACGAACCAAATAGATCTCTGTTCATATTCCATTCATTTAATAAACAAACATAACAAAACATAAATGAACAGAAACTTCATGAACAGTTCATCGAAAGCTCTATTCGTTTACATCCCTACTTCTTACCAATTTAAAATAAATATTTATTATAAAAATTTATTTCATTTCAAATAATTAGATATTATTGACATAATATACATATGTTGACAAATTTTATTATTATATCTTTGTTAAATCAAATCAAATTAATTGTGAACAACTCAATTAAAAAATAAATTAAAATAACTGAATTAATTTTTATTTTGTATGTGATATGTCAATCATTGGGAGTTCAAATGACTATGTGCGAGTCAAATGGGGCCTTGATTTATGATGCAATTTCTAGGATATTGAAGGGAAAGTGAAGAAAAGACCTGCTCAAAGGCATTTGTAACAAAAATGAAAGGTCCATTGCTCCTCGTTAATCTTTCTCTTTCATGATGCTGCAAAATCCACCGTTTTTTGTCTACACTGCCACCATTTTACTCCAAAATTTTCAACAAAATGTACACGTAATTTGTCAAGAAAAAGCAACAAACTTAACGAGAAATCCATGAAGTTAAAAAAAAAAAATTACCTGGTGACAAGTCTTCCCATTAAGAGAATCGTAGATTAGGCCTTGGACGACTCGAACTCCAGGCGATTTGTAGCGACGACACTTTGGATTGAGTTGTGTGTGAGTTGAGCAAGCTGAGTCGGTGAACCGACTTGTCTTGGTTTTGGCTTTAGTGAAGCTGCTCTTCTTCTTCTTACATGAAGAAGAAACAGCCATTGCTTAAAGTATTCAATCCAAATTAAAGATCTCTTTAAGTGGATTCTTAAATACTTAAAATAACTCAATTACTGTGTCGATCTTCACTTCATTTGCCTTTTTTTAAATTATTTTTATTGACACTTGTTTTTATTAATATTTTGTTTTTAGTAATTATTAGAGAAAGAAAATAGAAATGCAATGATTCTTTTCAGCTGTGGCGGGAAGAGAGAGAAAAATATTGGAGGGCACAGGCCGAGTGGGTCTGTTTTCCGATAGCCCATGTTTTTTTTTTTCTTTTTGTCATTTATAAAAAAGTTAATATTATAGTTCTTATAAAATATTTAATGTAATATTTGAGTTTTAAAAATTTTTAGAATGATAAATTAATTATAAATTTTTTTATTATTATAATATTAAAAAAAAATTTTGTTTATCATATATTATTATTTAAAATTAAATATATTAATTAATATATTTATAATTTAAATATTAAATTAAATATTTTTAAAATTTAAATATTATATTGAATATTTTATTATAATTTAAAAATCATGACATAAATTTTTTATAAAAATAAAAAATAAAGTGTTAGTTTTTATACATTTTAATAGAATTTTTTAATATTATAAATAAAATTAATTGATTGACATATATTTTATTTTTATTAATTTTTTATTTTTTTTATAGCTAAAGGTATATGTTACCATACAAATTTTATTTATAAAATTTAAAACTCCACTAAAATGAGATAATTTTTCCACAGAATTTACTTGATTTTACATTACTAAGCACTAAATGGGCTTTCCTAAAAGAAACTGAACATTGAATTAACCGATTATTCTTTGTCTTAATATCATACTAATTTTAAACTTAGTTAATGCATGAAAATATATTTATATATCAATAAATTTATATATATTATAAGTTTTTTTTAAAATTATAAGATAAACTTTTATATATATGAACAATTTAAATTTTGTATATTTAGAGTTATATAATGTCGAACCTTATATTCAAATTGCACAAAAAAATAATTAATATATATCGGAGGGATAGATCTTAAAACAAAAAATTATAAGTTAGGAGTATAAGAAATATGAAGAAAACAATTAAATTCAAAAATAATTTTGTTGCTTGAGATATATATATATATATATATATATATATATATATATATTTAGAATGGAGATTTGAGAAAACCATTTTCAACTCATATGCTAGCAACAATATGGATAATTCTTGTAGTGAAGCATGACTACCTATTATTGTTTCTTTTGTTCAACACCATTTATATAATATTTATAGTGTTGAAGAGTAGACAAAAAATAGTAATTAAAATTAATTAAGAGAGATATATGCTATTAAAAATAAATATAATTAATTTAATCAAAATCTAATTAAATTAAGAATTAAAATTAATTGAGAGATATTTAATCTATTAAAAGTAAATATAATTAATTTAGTTAAAATTAAATCAATTAAGAATTAAAATTAATTAAGAGAGAAATTTAAGCTATTAAATATAAATGCAATTAATTTTGGTCAAAATCAAATCAAATTAATTTAAATTGAAGACATTAAGTAATAGATACTTAGCAATTATTTAAAGCTATCTACAACGTCAAAAAATTACACTATCACATATGATAATTATCTTTGTTTATTGAATGTTTTGACTTTTATATATTTATATAAAATAATATAATTTAAATATGACAATTAATGTACTCATATTGTATAAAAATATTGATAATTTATATATTCATATCATATTTTATATAAAATTACATGTCACGATTCGTATCCACATGAAAATATAAAATATATATTTTATTTTATTAAACTCATATAGTGATTTTGCTAAACTTTTAAATTGTTTTACCTTTATATATTTTTTGTATCATTTTCATATCATATTTTAAAATTGTTAAGTCAATTATAATTAAAAGGAAGTCTCAAACTTTTAAGCTCAAGAGTTATTTATTCATCATGTAATAATTTATTTTTATTTAACAATTATGACAAAAATTAATAAGTATAAAATATTATTTAAAATGAGAAAATAAAAAATAGAAAAATATTAAAAAATAAGCAAAAAAGTAAAAAATTAACAAAATCAACCAAAAAAGTTATAAAAAAATATTATCCACAACAAAAAAAAAAGGCATTGCATCCACAATATAATTAAATATATTATTATATATAAATTAAATACATGCTTTATTTACTATAATACTTTTATTTTTTTAATTTTTTGAGTGATTCATGAGAGTTTGATACATGGTTTTGTTTTTTTTTTTTTTAATTTTGTGAAATGTTGCTAACTTATTTTTTAGTTTGTCTTTAAAGATTTTTTTTTTGTTTAATTTATAAATAAGATTTAAAAAAGAGAGTTTTGGATTTTTTTTTTTTCAAACAGACGAGACGAGTGAGTTTTCTTTTAAGATGTGGGAATAAGATTATGTGAAAATTTTAAACTGCTTAATTATTTTTTAAGATGTGGTGATGTTCTTGAAAGGTTTTACATTAATTTTGAAAATTGAAGTATCACACATAAAGTTATTAAGGTTTTGTTTGGTTAATATTTTATTTTTCTTTTTTTTTTTAACAAAAATGGATAGAAACAAAAAAAAAAAAGAGCAAAAAGAAAATTATTACAAAAAAATAACAAATCACAAATAACAAAAATATCAATCAAACTAAACTTAAATTATTCAAAAAAAATTAAACATAAAAAGATAAAGTGAAAAATCAAACCACATAAAAATATCAAACATAAAAGCAAGATAAAGTGAAAAAGCAAACCACATCAGTTGAAAGTTGAGCATTCAACAAACAAAAAGCAGAACTGGCAGTGCAAATCACAATTCACAACTGAGCTTTTGTTCATGCTGGTTAATAATATAAATGCAAAATCCATTTACTGTTCCATGGGAGACCACTTCACCTACAAATATCCATAAGGGATAAAAAGATAGAATATCCATTATAAGAAAGCCTCAAGCTATTGTTAATGTCTTTCAAATTCAAGGAAAAAGAAAGCTATTTCATAGCATTTATGTTACAAAAAACTTTCAGTTCAGCAATCCTAGGGCATACTAGTTTCATTTCAGTTCAACAATGGAGAATGTCCCTGCAGGGCAGCTGCATTGACAAGAAATTTTAATGAATCTAACTGCCGATTCAAGACCAGCAATGGAGCATCCGAGCACAAGGAGAAGCACAATCCAAGTAGTTTGCTCTACAACATAATCAATTGTTCAACCACATTATTATATCAATTTGGAACACACAAATGAAAGCAAAATTAGCAGCTCTCCCAACCTATGTTATTTGGACTCGGGATAAGCATCATATATGAGTATGCGTTCAACATGTGTATGCACAATTTTTTCTAAATTATATTTGGAGGTTCGGACCTCCATACCCATGTCTGTTGGGTATGTCTCGGACATGGGTACTTGATGGAAGATAGAGAGTTGAAGCAACATAGCTCCCAACTCACAAGGAGAAGACGAGTCAAGGCAGGTATGGTCCTAAATGACTGCCAAAACACAAGGACCATAGCCGTAAAATTAAAAGGGAAAAAAAATACTACTGAAAGTTATAACTAAGCTAATGCAGATTGTCAAAACTTCTATATATATATACATATATAGAAACTTTCAAGCTTGATTTTGCATCTTTAATATGGCCTATGGGAATATGTTTCAAAATAAGCCATTACAAGGAAAAGGTAAGCACTATAAGCATGTCTAATTATTGTTTGTTTCTCACTGGGATCGCTAATGTCAAGTGACTAAACCCAATTCTATTTATTACTCCTTGTATATTGCTTAACTATATCAATTTAGGACAAAGAAAAAGAAAATGTTCATCCTTCTCTATTCCTCTAAAATCTAAATGCAGTTTTCCTTTTATTCTTCTCTTTCCTTCTTCTGTTCTGTTCAAGCAGAATAGTGATCAATCTCTAACCTGTTCCACCATTTTTGGCATGCTCAAAAAGGATAGAGAAAAATGTTTATGGCATTCCAAAAAAATCCATTTGTTCTGCAAAATCAATTATGAAGCTTTGCATTATGGGCACTATTACCTTAAAATCTTGACAGGAAGAGCAATACTGAAATTCAAAAGATGACAAAAAAAGCTGATAACATTATATTTCAATTTAATTCACAACTCAATAAAAACAGAATCACTAATCATCCATCATGATTTCAAATATCTCCTGCTTATTATGTTCTTATTCTAAAATCTACCTTTAAAAAAAAAAAAAGACATAAAGAAGTAGTTTGCTTAACTGTTAAAAAAAAAAAGCTAGAGGGAATCTTCAAGCTCATTCAGCTTCTCCTTTTTCCTCAATTCAATTTCATACTGCCTCAATCTCTCCTTCATTTTCTCCTGTTCAATTAAATTAAAGTAAAAAATCAAAAGTATACAATCTATATAAAGTATCAAATAAAATAGGAAAAAGAGACCTTGTAGCTGAGTTCGACGCGGTGCATAACGTAGAAGCCAAGGATGCCGCCAAGAATGGTGCCGCTGATGATACGTACATACCCCCATTTCACTGAGTTCATCGCCATTTTTCAATCCCTCTTTTCTTCCTCTATTTTCCAGTTTTTAAGATCGAGAACCGAGTGCTGCATGTGGATTGTGTCCCGGCCCGAGCAGGGGCAACCAAGGCCCAGGCACCATCAGCTGGATCAGTCAAAAGGGCTAAGGCCCTGGGCTCCCAACAGGCACAAGAGCCTCCCACACAAGCTTCCAGGCCGAGGAAATCACTTACAAAAGGCCCCAATGCACTAGGTCCAGGTACAAGTAGATCAGGTTCAAGAAAACTCAAGTACTGAAACAACCATCTAAAAAGATACGAGATTGACCCACTTGAGATAGTTTTCTGCAAATTTTGAATTTTTTAATATAATCTCATATAATTTCATTATAATTTTGAATTTTGTAATAGTTATTGGATTGATTCAAGTTACAACATTTCTACTATCTTTTTTGTTTTTAAAGTACTCAGTTATTTTTTCAAAGGGAATTTCATTGTCTTTGAGTGTTTTTTTACTGCCTTTCAATTGTTCTTTTGAAGAGAATTTCCAACCTAAGATCCCACGAAATGTTGGCATAAGTTTCAGCTCCGTGACGAATTGTACGTTGCAGCCCCCTCTTTTTTGAAAGTTTTTGAAAGTTTTATAAATTAACTGCACCGTTGTTATTTTAGACAACAATTATACCCTGTTTTAGGATGTGTAGAAAAAAAAATTAAGCCTGACATTGACATTGTAGGTTGCAGCCCTCTCTTTTTTCAAGGTTTTGTAGATTAATCTCACCGTTTTAGGACTTACAGGCTTTTAGGCAACCGCTTCTGCTTTAGCTTGTAGACAGTTGAATTTGTAATTTTCGGGATAGGTAGAAAAAAAATTATTATGTGGAAAACTCTGAATATTGAATTGAAATAAAAATATCAATATTGTGAGTTTTAACCCAACTCAATTTTATAGATCAAGTCTTTTTTTAAAAGTGGAGTTTTGAATTAAATTTTTTTATAAAAAAAGTAAACTCGATTATAGATATATATAAAAATATTTTTTTATTATTTATTTAATTTTATATTTTATATATGTATTATATTAACAAAATTATTATTTAATATTTTAATTTAAAATATTAACTTAATAAAAATATTATAGTTTTGTATAATTAAGATATAATCTATATTAAAAAATATTTTATAATATTATATTAAAATAAAATTATTATATTAATTTCAAGTCAGATTGAGTCGATTATGATTTTATATATAAATATGTTAGATAAAAAAAATAATATTTTAATATAGAATCAAAATTAGGTATATATTTTATGAAGTCAACTCAAAATTGAGACGAGTAAAAACTTATCATAACCCAACGTGTTACTATCACTAAATTGAAAGGCAATTAAATATTTAACACATACAACTAGTACAAGACCCCTATTCAAATAATATAAGTTATAACTATATACAGATATTGAGTTCAAAATATTGTAAAGTTTAATAAGAACATATATATCTAAATAATGTCTAAAAGAAATAATCAAGTTAGTAATTCTTTCTTTAAAAAAAACACTCATTGGATAATTTTTTAAAAAAATTTACTCCAAAAATAAGAAAGAAAAATTCATAAAAAAATTAAATAAATAGAAACACATAAGAATTTCGTATACACAAAATAAATAATTATTCTATTATTAAAAATTAAATGCTCACCAGAACAATTACTCAAATCATTATACGTGTTGTAGCTTTATTTAGTGTTAAACATAATGTTATAAAGTGTTTTCTTTTAAAATTTTAAAAAATATTATGCAATTTCTAAAACTTAAAAGAACCACTTTTATAATAAAAAAGTTTCAAATAGAATAAAATTAGAACTCAATGTGAAAAAGTAATTCTAAACAAATTAAAACTCTACAAATCTCCATCTTTTGCTTGAATTCAAACTTTTTAAGCTTTTTCAAGTTGTTGCAACCAACAAGTCTCCAATCTTCTATTTTTTCAACACCTTTAAAAACTCTATAAGCACAAAATTCTCCTAACCATTGGCCTTTAAAGTTACCTCGATTACACATAATGAATCAAGAATGATCTAATAGTCAGATTTCAAAAACGAGTAATGCACATGTAGCTTTCAAGTCAAAGGCACTAGTTGATTTTGGAAACGGACCTCAATGACCCATTAAATTCACAAATATTGGAAATATTTTTCATATCACAATCATCTACACCATGGGAACTCTTTATTACCTCATTCGTGAATGAAAGCCGACTGTGGTAGCTACCATCCTTTGTACACCATTTCCATTCTTTTAAGGCCTCACCTTTTAAAAGATACAAATCATTATGCAAATTTAATTCCTTCCATCAAGACAATGTCATCTCATGTGATTTTTGTTAGGAAAGTAGGGTCTAGCCCTATATAATTGGGTTTGAAACAATCAAAGGCCATAGGCTTTAGTCTTTTTTTTCTACACATAGCCTTAGCTACTTAATAAAAAGATGTAGGGGCTGTTTTAAGTTGAAAAAAAAATGGCGCTACAAACCAAGAAAAGAAAGAGGAAAAAAAAAGCTAGGAAAATAGAGAGAAAATGGAGAAAGGAAGTTGGTTGAACAAAAATCAATCTGTAGTCCGATTGAGCTAAAATTTTGTTAGCAGATTTATGATATAGAGTTTTATATTATGAACAGTAAAGATCTGGTTTGAAGCTTTTTAGAAACAAATCCAGTGAATATTTGTTAAGTTACCTATTTGGTGAGATTTCTTCAATTGTCTCTCTAGTTATTGATTAACTCTAGTTTTAGCTAGAGAAGAACTTTATATATCCATTATTTGATAGTGATGATTTTTTCTTGTTGTCTGTGATTTTTTTTCTTTACATTGAAGGTTTTTCACGTAAATTTTAGTGTGTTTATTTTTTTTATATTGTTAATTGTTGATTGTTATCTATTACTGTAGGTTTATTGCGATATATTGCTTCTACGTTGTTGTGTTTATTGCTTTAGGCTCAACAAGTGGTATTAGAGTGAGAGTTATTTTGAGATATTGATATAGAAACAGTCCAAAACAAAAGTAAATTTTGTTTGAGATTATAAAGGGTGATACAAGTTTCATGATAAAATTGATAGCATTAAATTATTTAATTTGGAAGCTTATGATGAAAGATCATTTATACTGTAAAGATTTGTATTGTAGATATTGGGTGATTCGACTAAACTAGCAGCTATGAAAAATGAAAGCTAAAAAAAGTTAGGAATAAAGATGCTGGCTATAATTAAAAAATGAGTTAATATTAACGTGTTTCATCATTTAGCACAGGAGACAGATGCTCAAACTGTTTGAAAAAAATTGGTAGCAGTGTATGAGAGAAAAACAGTATGAATAAAATTATGCTTGTTAAAAGCTTGTAACTTTACAGTACAGAGATGGATGATTAATTATAGAGCACTTGATCTAATTTTTAAAATATATTTAATCGAATGATTACTACGGAGCTTTAGATGAATGATAAAATAAAGGCATTATTATTTTTTTTTTTGTATTCATTGTTAGATAGTTGAAATACTCTAGTTGTGATTGTTCTTTATTTAACTCTTGACTACAATGTAACATTGGAGATGGTAAATGATAGTATGCTTAATGAAAAAATAAGGTGAAAATATTTAGACACTACAGGAATAAAACTTTGGTTACAGAGAATATGGGTAAAAATATTGATAGAGGTTAAAACTTAAAAGATCGTAGTAAGTCTAAATATAGATCTAAGTCCAGAGATAAAGTGAAGTATTTTCATTGTGGTAAACCAGGTCATATAAAACGATATTACAAAATCTTGAAGCAAGAGCAGAAAGATGAGAAAAGTAAAAGTTCAGATGATGACAATATTGCAGTAGTAAATTCAGATAGTAATTTAGTTATTTTGATTTGTACACATGGTGATTATAATCATATTGGTGATCTCGATAATGAGTGGATAGTTGACACAAAATAGTATATCATTGTGTTTCTAAGAGAGAGTTGTTTATAATTTATAAAGCAAAAAATTTTGGTTGTACCCAGATGGAAAACAAAAGTGTGTCACAGATTGTTGGGATTGATGATATTGTTGTACAAACTAGTATAAGTTGCATATTGACTTTAAGGGATGTCAGACACATTCTAGATATAAGAATGAACTTGTTTTCTATTAATGTCATTGATAAGGAAGGATATGAAAGTTAACAAAAGAATGGGTAGTGAAAACTTCTCAAATGATTTATAGTAATTGCAAAGGAAAAACTATGCTACACAATGTACAAGACATGGATGCAATTGAATGGTAACTAAATAAATGTCATTAAGGATGATGCTTAACAAACTTGTGACAAAAGAGGTTGGCACACATGAGCAAGAAGGGGTTACAGGTTTTGACAATGCAGTCTTTCATTCTTTTTACCAAAAATGTGTCTCTTGATTCATGTGATTATTATTTGTTTGGTAAACATTGTAGAGTTTCTTTTCATAAGAGTTTTCAAAGAAAAAATAGATTGAAATTAATTTATTCTAACGTATGTGATGCCATTAAGGTTGAGTCATTAGGTGGTAGCAAGTATTTTATTACTTTTATTGATGATGCTTTACATAAGTCTTGGGTGTATATGTTGAAAAATAAAAGTCAAGTATTGTAATATTTTTAAAAATTTTATGCCATGGTGTAAAGGATGACAAGGCTACCCCTAAAGTATATTTAGACTAATAATGATGGAAAATACACATCCAAAGCTTTGAAAAGTACTATTTAAAGCATGAAATCAGGCATGATATGAAAAAACTTAAAACACCGTAACATAATAGTGTAGTTGAAAGAATGAACCGTATTATTATAAAAAAAGTCAAATGTATATTGAGGATGTCAAAATTATCAAAGTCATTTTTGAGTGAAGTAGTCAACACAACTTATTATTTGTTTAATAAATCACCATTAGTTTCTTTTGGCTTTAACATTTCAGAAGAGTGTGGATAGGGAAGAATGCTTCATATTCTCACTTGAAAGTTTTTTGGTGTAAAACATTCATGCATATGCCAAAAGAGTAGAGATCAAAGCTTGACAGTAAAATCACATAGTATGTGTTTGTAGGATATGGT